CACCTTTCTTTTTTATCAGTCAGACTGTAACAGGTAACTCTTCCCCACCCTCCATGCACCTCTAAACGTACAACACCGCTCTGTATGTGTGTGTGTGTGTGTGTGTGTGTGTGTGTGTGTGTGTGTGTGTGTGTGTGTGTGTGTGTGTGAGAGAGAGAGAGAGAGAGAGAAAGAGAGAGAGAAGCCATCGCCCATACGCACTACCAAGGATGCAAAACCCTGTAACGCTCGTAAACTGTTAAAATACAGACCGAGTTCGAGCCCATATGGATCCAATGAGCAGGACAAAACACCCGGGCTCAAAGGCCTCACCCCACTACTCACCCACATGCACAAAAACGATGGTGTTGTATCTTCCCACGTTCAAAACGAAGATTCATTCTCATTTTGCACATTTGGTGAGTAGAGGAGCGAGGCCCCAAATGCGAAAGAGGACCTGGCTGGTGAGACTCACCAGCTGCAAGAGAAACGGAAATTGCAGCGGTGTATCTTTCCGCTTTTTAGCAGAAGATTCATTCTCATTTAGCACATTTGGTGAACCGCGCGGCGAGGCCAATGGACAGAATCCCTGAAAGCCCAAAAAACGGAAGGTACAAAAACACCGCCTTTGAGATACCGGGCCTCGCCACACCGCTCAGCAAATGTGTAAAATCATACTAAAATGACTTTAAATGAGAACAAATCTTTCCCTAGAACCCTGAAAAGAAACACCGCCGTAATTTTGGGTTTTGTGCAGTTGGTGAGTTTTTTGGTTTCCCTTTTTCTTTACTCGCTTCGTGGTCGCGCGCGGCCTGTACAATTCAATGGCCGACACTTTCTCAGTCGCGTTTTCCGGGGACACCGTTGATAGATGCTGAAAACGCTCTGCCTATCCGACAGCCCATCTCACAAATGGGCAGAACCGGCTGGAATGGGTTGCGACATTGCGTTACACTCGACCGTAAGAACTTTCATAGAAGGGTAGATAGATTGATTAAGAAACGAAAGGAGTGGTCCCCCTGAACATGATAAATACAGGGTCCAGCCCATTTTACAGAAGAGCAAAGGAAGGGAAACGAATGTTCGCACAACTTCTCAGCCACCACGAGGAGAAAACAGCGATCTGCAAAGCATACATTCACTCCCAACAGACAGCTTGGCATTCATGATCAGTTTGCTTCATGCTTCTGTTTCACTTCTGTATATCACCACGGTAAACATTTCACAAAGCTGCTGAGTAAGGAATCTAAGGATTTATTTTTTTATTTTATTTTTTTTTCTGGGCGCGGGGGGTGGGGGGAAGGGGGGTCGTTGCACAGAGTGGAGGAGTAGGTTCGAGTGTCGTACCTTAGCTCTTGAATCGTCGACATGTGTCCTGCTGTTCTGTCGACAGGACTTAGGAAATCTTAAGGCTCAAATAGGGTATTGGACCTATTGGTCACTTGGATAACGCCTCAGGCCTGTGGGGAATAAACATACACATCAGTTTGCAGACAAGTCAACAAGACACATTTCAGAAAAGTCAACAAGTCAGCGGTCACGATCTGTCGAAGGGTTCAGAAAGGCTCATTGACCTGTATGTAACTCCATACTCCAAGGATAGACAAAAAGGTAAGAAAATGCGGTGTTCTTTAGAATCTTTACTGATTACCACAAAGGACAGCTTGTGGTTATTTGTCATAGTAGCGGTGGTAGCAAAGGAATGACCAAATGCTTGCCAGTTATTTTTATTGTTTTGGGTGTGGAAGTCTTCATCCATTAAATTTTCGAATAAATAAATAATATGCATTGAGCGGCTTTGAGCCCCATTGCTCGACACCTTGAGCACACACACATTGAGAGGTTGCATGACATCCACACCGGAGACCAGAGATGCAAAGTCCAGAATAAGCGCAGCTTAGATCTCCCAACAAATTGTCACATTAATAAGCAGTTCAGAGTTCCAGTCACCAAGCGCTCATCAGCGCAAAGTTCAGCAAATCAATTCCAGCATCCTCATCCAAGGTAAGTGACTGTGTTCTCTCTCTCTCTCTCTCTCTCTCTCT